TCGCAAGTGACTCAATGGCACATAACAACAATAACAACAACAACAATTTATTTCATTTATTTGGAACAGTACATTTTCCCCACCATTTACTTATGTTCTTAAACATATATAGTAGAAAAGAAATTTAATATTCCATGTAGCATCCAAAGGTCAAAATAGTGTATAGGTAAAGCAGCTACTGGTGAAATTCTTCTATTTCCTGCTTAAAGACACATTTTAAAAAGATGAAACATGTAGAGTATAGCTGTATGTTGTTTCTCTAGTTCTTTCACTTGATGATCATCAGAATCTGTAAGCTACAGTGATGAAGGTGAGTCTGTCATAACAGAGGCAAGTGATGAACCCCAGAGAACAGCAAAGTGTTGTCACCAAGTGAGTGCCACAGAGTCACATGGTGAGGTAACATAGGGAGGAGGACTAACTATAGATGAAGAGATTAAAATGTAAATGGGAGTTAACCTGGACTCTGTGCCTATTGTGACCCAATATGACTGAGTAGAACTGATCCCACCAGTTTGAAAGTTTAAATCCACCAACTGTTTAATGGGAGAAAGACAGGTAGTCTTCTGTCATGAAGATGCACAGCCTTGGAAATCTGATCAGAAGTCATTATGATTTGGAATCAGACTTCATGGCAGCAAGCTTGTAGTTTGGGTTGTTTTGGAATATTTCAGGAAAAGATTCCCATATTTTTCTCTGAGTAATTAACCACTGTGTCATCAGGTATCCTCCCTCTTCTAAGGAACAAGAAATACTGCTCTTGCTCTAAGAACTGACATTGACCTTGTGGTATTTTGACATCTTCTTAACATCTGCATTATTTATTGAGGGCCAGTTATGTGTAGAGAAATGTAACAACTGCTATGATACATGTAAAATATGTGAGAATAAAACTCCTGTCCTCAAAATTTTATTACCTAGAAACGTAAAGCACTCATAATGTTGTTGTTGTTGTTGTTGTTACGTACTATCAAGTTGCCTGAGACTCACAGAGACCCTATGCAAAATAGCTCTGAACACTGTTCTATCCTGAGCCAATCTGTCTCAGACCCACCCACCTGCCCCTATAGCCCCAGGCACTGTATCAAACCATATAAACAGTATTCTAAGTATCTTTCCTTCCTTTTTTCCCTAATGCAAAAATGTTTAATAAACGCTTGTCAAATGATAGTGCTCCTTAAACTTTTCAACTGCCTTCACATTTATCACCCCAAAGTAGTTTAGTAAAGTTCTTTTTTTATCTTCTGATGCACTGCTTCATTAATTTCTTCATATACAACTCAGGGGCACTGATTACATTCTTTATTTCTATTTTTTAAAATTGTGATTTTAACAGAAGTTTAAAGAAAGTTTGAGTCATCCATCCATCCATTGTTGCACATTTTCCTCTCTCTTCCTCCCTTCTCCCTACTCTAGTCCACTTTGCGATGTACCTCTTGTTGCACATTGTTGCCATACATATAATACCTAATCATGCATTCCTTTCAGATTGTTGTTGTTGTTATGTGCCGTCCAGTCGTTTCTGACTCATAGCGACCCTATGCACAACAGCCCTAAACCCTGCTCTATCCTGCGCCTCTGACACACCCATCCTGATTACCGCAGTCACCGAATCAATCCATCTCATAGAGGGTCTTCCCCCCCTGCGTTGTCCCTCAACCCTCCCAAGCA